ATTCTTTTTGTTTCTAATGTACTTAAAGAATGTCTTCTTATTTGTCCTTAACTCTGCTGGCCATAGATTTCTCCTTGCGTCCCTTTGCTTCCTTTATCAATGTTCTATATTTCCTAACTTCTGATTTATATTCATTACTATCAATTTCGCCTTTCTTCCATATGTTATAGGTTAAAAAAAAATCACGCCCCTAACCAACATAGTTATACAGTAAAAAATCTGTATGTAGATAGGGCTTTAGTATTGCAGGGTGAGGGATAGACCCCTCAAAATTATGACAGTCCCAAAAAAATTCAGAATAGATGGCAAACTGAACCTAGACAATGCACCACTGGGGAACAAGAAAGTTGTGAAACCAAAGCGGAACTTTGAGAATTCCTTGGTATTTAAATGTGAATTACCTTTGTAATTTTGTTAAGCATAAGATGATGATTTGAAATAGATACAATATGACTCATAATGTTTGGCATTTACTGCGTGTCTAAGACAAGGCACATGATGACATGCAATTATGTGGGAAACTAAATTGCTAATTTGAGCTTCCATAAAAACCCAATAAGTTAGAACAGGCATTCCAAGTTTCCGAACAGTTCAAATTCTTGCAAAGCAAACAAAGATCTTACATAAAGGACATTGTTATTTCAATGGATAATTACTGTACCTAGATGGCAAAACAAACAAACTCTGCTCATTAAATATATGACTTTATAGTTTGTGACTTGTCAAGAGGACAATCTCAGGTCAAATTTAGTCCAACTTTTAGTTTTTTCTTTTCAAAAAAATATACAAGAAGCAAAACAAAAACAAACAAACAAAAACCCACAAGCTTTCTCAAAACCTAAAATCATGTTTCCACGATTTTCTCAATTGCAATTACAACATAAAGCATCCACTCCTTTGCAATGTTTGCACTTCAGACATTGCAACATTGTGCTGCTATATGAGAACCTGAAAGTGAAATTGGGTAAAAACTGAGAGCCAGATCATACACCGAAGATCTGTGTGTGGTGGGGTTCCAGATCTAGTCTGAACCCTCCTTTGCAGTCAGCCACCTTCCTCCATGTCATCATCTCTACCCCTTCCTAGGACCCCCATGGGATGCTCCACAGAGCTAGGATCCAGGTGGAAATAAGAATCAGAGACTGAGGGGGGCAAGAGACACATGTCATACCACCTGCAACCCTTTGAAGATTCTCAGAAAAATGCTCCAGCCTGGATTCTATGAAGAGGGATAGAAGGGGGAGGGATAACTCAGTGGTTTGCACATTGGCCTGCTAAACCCAGGGCTGTGAGTTCAATCCTTGAGGGAATCTGGGCCAAAGAATTGGGGATTGGTCCTGCTTTGAACAGGGGGTTGGACTAGCTGACCTCCTGAGGTCCCTTCCAACTCTGATGTGCTATGATTCTAAGATGGTGGGACAATCCCATAGCCTGTTCTACAATAGGGTAACTCCTATCTACTAAAGAACAATGTGGGAGAATATCACTGACTTTTCCTCTGCCTCCATTCCTTCCCATGGGTTTTACTGCAAGAGGGAACAATCCAACCCTGAGTCACTCCAGGTTTACTTTTCAATGCAAAATGTTGTATCAGGCTTTCCCCAGATGGGTTTGAAGTGGGACATTTAAACTATTGTTTTGATATGCATTCCAGTGTGTGAATCCTTAGGGGGTTAGAAAAGTATGGCAAAAACTTTTAGAGCTTTGGCAAGAACAAGGCCATTTATGATTACACCAAATCTACAGCAGCGAGTTTACAGGGGTGGCCTTTGTGTCCCATATCATTTCATTCTTCTTTCTCTCTGCATTCAAAACCTCTTTTATCCACTAATAAGGAGGATACTTGCATGGGACCTCCTATGTCCCTTTAGCCTGCTTGCCTGAAAATAAACAGAAGGAAGCTTCTGGTGCTCTGAGATTCTTCCCACTTTCCCAGCTCTTGAACACCAAGCTAAACATTCATGAGAAGTAAAAAACAAAAAGGAGCAGATTTTTGTCTGACCAGTGAGTGCCAGGAACTCCAGAGCTGTAATTCTTCAGTTAACACCAAGTTCCTTGTTGATGTGAGGCAAGCCACTTAACACTTTGACCCCAATAAATAGACTGATCTGTAAAATGAGGATAATATTTACCTACCTTCCTACTTCTCAGGGACATTGGGAGGTCAATATTTGTAAAGCACTTTGAAGAGAAATAATTCTATCTGAGTGCTGTTATTAAAACACAGGGTACTATATTGCTGATTATGATTATATATAAATATATAGTTACATTTTGTTGTGATGATCAAAGATCTATTCATTATCAGTTTTCCCAAACTCAGATTTTTCTCCTTTTTTTTTTTTTTAAATAAATGCTGGTTTTCCAATCTCTCCTCGATAAGTGCCATCAACAAACATAGACTCCAAAACTTAGGCACCAAAAGTGCCATCAATAAACACAGGCACCAAAATGGACATTTAGAGGGGAAAATAGCTCTTTGGGGCATGGATATATTTTCATATTTGTCAGTAAAGCACCTTGCACACTTTGGACAATCCAGTAGGGCCACGGTGTTGTTAATATTAAACAGAGTTATATGTATTTAAATGAATTGGGGTGGACAGATTTTTTTAAAGTGGGGAAACATGAAAATATGGGAAAATCTCAGTGGAAAAACACTGGGATTATCCCTTTGAAAATGATAATGGCAACTGTTTTTAAAAAATCACATTTTTATCTGAAATTCTTTACCTCCTGTTGTGACAAATAATTCCTAAAATTATTATACCTGAAAATTTAGAGAGAAAAAAGAATTATCTTTTTTAGGGTTTCTCTGTGAATTTGAAAGCTCTTTGAAGCTTTCTCTTGCTCCTCTGCAGATTCTGTTGTTTGTATGAATCTTTCACAAGCAATCAGGGAGGAAAAAAAAACATTTTAAAAAACCAGGAAAATGTGATTGTGATGCGCCGCCTCCCCCTCCATCCCCCACCCTTCTTCCACCTAAGCAAAGAGGGTGAGCGGCAGGGTTGGTGGCTGAAACAACGTATTGGTTTTTAATTGACTCGATTTCAACTTGATGGTGTTCCCTTTCGCTAAAGGTAATTGGCATCAAGAACGTCCCAGCGAAAAACTGTCCCCTCCTGAGTCACCCTCTGGGATTAATTTTTTCTCCACCTCCTGGGCTGATGTTTCGCCTCCTCCTCCTCTTTTCCCTCCGCAGCAGTGTCACTGACTGCAAGTGTTTGGTTTAGGTTTGGCCTATTTGGCAACGACCAGCTCTGGGCTGGGGGGGGGGGGGGGGGGGGGAGAGGGGGGAGCAGTCACGTTGCAGAGCCACGTGCCAGTGCAGCGAGCGACTGGAAAGCAGCCCGGAATGTGAAAGTTAATCAGCCGAGGAGCAACAGCTTTACACGCTGCACATGAGGCAGGGAAGGGCGGGGGGAGGTGGAGGGAGGAAACACTACGAAGAAGAGAGCGGCGGGACACGACGGCATCTGTCCATTCTGCAGCCATCAGCACACAGCGGCAGGATAAAGCCCCTCTCAGCCATTCCCGGCTGCCGGGGAGCCTTTTGAGAGGTGGTGCGCGAGGGGAAACCAAACATCTGGATGTCCGCAAGCCTCTTCTGTGAAGTGTGGAAGTGACAAGTGCCACCATTCTCCACATCTGGGCAGCTGCGCCCCAGGGCCGTGCAGGAAAAGCAAGCAATCCCTTGTGAAAGAGGCAAAAGCCCCAAGCAGCGAGAGCCCCTAAATGTAAGTGACTGACTAACGCAACAGGTTTATAGGAGCTAATAACCAGAGAACGGCTGTTACCAGGCTTAGAGCCCCAGGGCTCGCTTGTTGGCTAGAAGAGTAACTTCTGCTGCAAATGGTTCCCCACACAGCACTGACGGCATCCTGGGATTATTTCAGTCTCAGCCTGCCTCCAAATTCCACTTCCCACAAGGCGGCGGCATCCCGGGGCTGGGGAAAGGACCCCGCTTAACTAAACTCGGGGACGCACGCACAGACCCCAGGTTCACTCGTGTAATGACACTGGGGGCATCTGGTTTCTGTTCGTGACCGACCTGGCTTTCTCTCCCCACCCCACCGCCTGACGCTGTTCCAAGCCTTTCCGGGGTGCTGGGGGCTGTGACTCTGAAGGGATGGGCGGGCAGTTACCGAGTGAAGTCTAAGGCAACCATAGGATCTGGGGGGAGGAGGAGGCGGAGGGAAATGGGCGCTCCAATCTGGCCTCACGTGGAAAATTTGAATCTTCCCCCGGGCAAAAATCCGACCCCCTTTTCAGTTTTTGTCCCTTAAGGAAAACACAAACACACCTGAATCCTGCCATATTAGAATCATAGACTATCAGGGTTGGAAGGGACCTCAGGGGGTCATCTAGCCCAACCCCCTGCTCAAAGCAGGGCCGATCCCCAAGTTTTGCCCCATCCCAAATGGCCCCCCTCAAGGATTGAACTCACAACCCTGGGTTTCAGAGTAACAGCCCTGTTAGTCTGTATTCGCAAAAAGAACAGGAGTACTTGTGGCACTTTAGAGACGAACACATTTGTTTGAGCATGAGCTTTCGTGAGCTACCGCTCACTGCTCAAACCACTGAGCTATCCCATCCCCTACCACCACCACCCCCCCCCCCCCACACACACACACACACTAACTCTCCTCACTCAGCAGGCAGTCCTCTCCCGGGTCTGACCCTTCCGCCCCGCTTTGTGAGCCCTGCAGTGGGGCGGACAAGTCTGTTACAGCGCTGCCCCGGGCGAGACTGGATGGATTGCTCTGCAGCCGGACTCAATACGGGGCCACCTGCTGATCGCTCCTGTGAGGTGTCACTCCGGAGGCTCGCCTCCGACTCGAGCGGAGTTCCCCCATGGAATGACCCTGGAGTAACTGAGATCAGGAGCTGTCCCACTAATGAATTGATTATTATTCCCTCCTGCCACCGCCCATGCTGACAGGTCCCCCCCCCGCCCCCTTTGCTACTATGAGTGTCTTTCCCGTGTAAATATGCGTTACCTCTTAATGTGTCCAGTCTGCGTGGGGTAACTGAAGTCTAACGGAAAGAATCAAAGTACATTTGCGATTTGTTTACAAGTCCGGCGCACCCGATGATGCTCTAGGCTTGATGTCCTGGGAGTATCCTCCCCCCTCCCTCCCCGCCCCCGCCCCACTGCAGCCTCCCGGGCAAAAGTGGCGCGTTTCGACCCAGCTCCCATCCTGTTTGAAAAGCCCGCGTCAGGGCTGCCGGTCAGGTGTGCGGGGCTTTGCGAGCGGGCATGTAGCAAAGCGGAAACGGTTGGTTTGCTTTTTAGTGGGGGGGGAGCAACCTCGGGGTTTACTGTTCCCATTGTACGTATAATTTAATGGGTGCTTTATTTGTTTGGGGGTTAATTGTGTGTTTGTTTTGCTGCGTTGTTGTTGTTCTTTGACGAAATGTAGCGAGAGTAACTAATTACAATCCCATTGCATCGTCCCCGATAGCATTTGGTGGGGATGGGGAATTGGTTTTATTTTGCACTCCGACGCGCAGTTGCAAGTGTATCGAAGGCTCTGGCGAAATACCAGTACACCCAGTGCGCTCCTATGCTCCAGTGCTAACTCGTAGGGGGAAGTCTTTGCAAAGTTGCTGCTGACCAGACTCCTTTATCGTTTATATTTGTCCTTATCATTTGTCTTCTCCTTAACCGCCCCATGTAAAGTCTGTAGGTGGGAGTGAAAGATATGGCTTGTTAGCTTTACAAAGGCAGGAAAGTTAATTGCCTTTTTGACTTCCCAGAGCAAATATAGCATATATGTGTGTACAATCAGGTGCATATTTGTACTTGTCTATGTGCAAGGAGCCAAAAGTCCAACGGTTACATTTGGTTCCCTCTAGCTACGGACTTTCCCCTGGTTGAGCAGGTGAGCTGGAAGGGGTGCTACAAAAATCCAGATCCATCCCTGTGATTCTCTTCCTTCTAAGGGGACTGACTAGTAGCAAGGATGTAGGTTACATTTCCCCTAGAAATCCCCTACATTCTGCAGCCAGGCAGAGTCATGGCAAGTGCTCCTCTCTGAGAAAGAGTAAGGAAGGGGACTGTGTCTCATTCCTTTGACACAGAAGTAAAGGGTCCCCACAGCTCAAGGGGTGCTGTGGGAACCTGATGCCCCTGTTGATGGGAACCATGTGAACAGCAGAACAAATGCAACTGAAAACGCTTGCCTGGAATACGTGACTTGTTTGTTCCCCAGCACGGGTGGCTGTGGGAGATCTGTTCAGTTGTTCTTGGAGAAATCAGCCGTTCCCTTACCTAGTGTCTGAGGGTATGGAAAATAACTCACACCCAACCCCCTCCCTGCTGTCCTGAATCTGTGCAAGGGGTGAGCCATGCAAGGACGGACTGTGCTGAGGAGGCAGATAAGGTAGCAGGTACTAGGCAAAAACTGGGGAGAAAAGGAGAAGAGGTCAGAGTAATCTGAAATCAGTGAAGGTGGTTATGCCTTTGTATGTCTCTGGAAAAGGTAAAAAGATGCAACCACCTGCTGTAATAATAATGATACTTAGCTCTTATAGAGCACTTTTCACCAGCAGTTCTCAAAGCCCTTTACAAAGGAGGTTAGTATATTTATCCCATTTTACAGATGGGAAAACTGAGGCATGGAGCAATGTCACAAATAGAACCAGGACTCCTGACGTCCAATCCAGTGTTCTGTGCAGTAGACACACTACCTAATAGGCATATTGCGTATCTGAAAAAATAGGACTTTCCAACTGGAATTTTAAATGACCACACACACACACAATTATTATACTGAGGGAAGTTCTCCTCCGTAAGGATGAGAATTTAATATTCCATCCAAACTTTTTTCCCCAAAAGAATTCATTTAAGTGTTTTGACCATTGATAAGAGCTGGTTGAACTTTTTTGAAATTCAAAATTTTGACAAAATGTTCCATCAAATTTTTGAGGCAAAAATAAAAATGTTTATGGAAATATGAATTAATTTTGATCCATTCTAGCTGACATATAACCAGAGGGAAATTAGAAATGGCCACCACTAATGCAGAGCCCTGTTCTTCAATGCTTACTTATTCAGGTTGACATCAATGGAGCTACTTGTGTGAATAAAGACAATGCATGAATGAGGGTTGATTCATAGATCTTTAAGCCACAAGGGACCACTGTGATCATCTAGTCTGACGTTCAGTATAACATGGGCATTGGCAATTGAACCTCCCTGAATTAATTCCTGTCTGAATTTGAACATATCTTTTAAACAAATATCCACTCTTGATTGAAAAATTTCCAGTGATGAGAGGACAGGCCCTCCAGTTGTTACAACAACTCACAAAAATCAGTGGTCAGGAGAGACTGAACCATACTGACCACAAAGATCAAGGTTCTAAATACGTTGTATGTAGAAAGTATTTCAGATTATTTTGTTTTTGCAGGTTTGTAACACGCAGAGTTTTACACGCAGAATTAACATGTGGAACTCATTGCCACAGTGGACCTCTGACATCGAAGGCTTAGCAGGTTTCTAGAGAAAGGTTAGGGGTGAAATCCTAGTTCTATTCAAGTCAATGATAAAGTTCCCATTGACTTCAGTAGGGCCAGGATTCCACGCTAGATATTTATATGAACAATGAAAACATCTACACCAATCAAATATGCCGCAAGTTTGGCAAAGGTATGAACCCTCATGATTCAAGGTATGAATGAAGGCAATAGGAAGAAACTTTCCATAGGGAAAGGTTATTCTAGAATTACCCACTTCAAGGTGCTCGCATCTTCTGAAGCAGCTGGTGTCGGCTGCTCTGGGTAAGTCTACACAGCCCGCAGCAGCAAGTCTCAGAGCCGGGGTCTGCAGGCACAGGCTCCCGAGGCTCATGCTATGGCACTCCCAAGGTATGTCTACACCGCAGCCGCTCCAATTACAATCTAGTCTGAGATCCTAAGTATGCATTCAGGCAGCTAGCCCCTCTTGTCGCCCATACCACCATGGTTGCACTGTTATTTTTAGCATGCCAGCTCCTCCAAAACTAGCAGCTGTACATCTACCCAACCTGAAATTACACCTCAGAGATAGGATACTGGGCTGACTAGACTGCTACTCCCATGTGGTATAGCTACTCCTGTGTTCCTCTGATCATAGACATGGGCGAGACAGATTCTTCTCTAATTAATATTATTTAAGAGATTCAAAAATGCTATTACCAAAGGTCAAAAATGTTTGAGAAATACCATATTTTGTCCTTGCGAAGTATGGCAAAAAGCCAACTTACAGTTCATATGAGAAAAGTTTCTAATGCAAAAGATTATTTCCTGTAGTGCACTCACTACCTGTCCTTTCCTAATGTTGATGGATCACCTTTGAGTAAACTTAGTTTAAACGGTTGGAAGTTTGGCACCAGACGGAAAAGGGACAAAGCAGCAGTTTGACTGTTATTAGCTATAGTGACAACCAGCACTGCTGAGTATCCTGACAACTAAGAGCCAGATGATACATTAATATAGGAAAAATGGAGTTGCCTTCTGAGATTTCGGACACCACCCAGAGGTTTATTTTTGTTGCTGTATTTACAGCTGCTTCTCCTTTACAGGCACTGAGGCCTCAGTGATGGCTCACCAAAGAAAAAATAAATGAAAACCATTATTTTTGGAGACAATAATATCTTGTTTATATACTAGATATTTTCACATACAGAAGCACCATGGGCTAGTAGTGGACAAAGAAGGTGGAAGTCTGGAACTATTATGTCCTCTGGCTCTGCACTGATTGTGTGCCTGGCTTTGGACAAATCACTGACCCTCTCTCAATGTCCTGATCTGTATATCCTCCCGACTTCAGAGCGGCAGCAGCTAGATCCACGCCTTGGCTGGTCACTAATCCATCCCTAAGCCCACATTAGCCTCTGTGCTTCCTCTGCCTCCATCTCCACATTCTGGGGTTGGGAGAACAATGGTGAGTGGATCCATGTAGAGAAAGAAATTGGATATCTTTCTAAAAGATATGCTCTAGGCTCAACCAGAAGTTATGGATTTGATACAGGAATTACTGGGTGAGGTTCTATGGCCTGTGTTATGCAAGAGGTCAGAGTAGATGACCATAATGCTCCCTTCTGGCCTTAAAATCTATGAACCTCTACCAATATCTCCCCTCAGTTTTGCTCTGTCCCCAATCGCCCCCCCCCCCCAGCACATCACATAGGCAGCCCTTAAAGAACCAAATTCCTTTCCATGATGAACAAGCCAACCCCCTCACTAGCTCTACATGAAGCACCCCACAAAAAAGAGGGAGAAGCCCTCCGTTCCCTCCACAGCAAACACAACATTGGCTGAGGCTCCAGTCAACACAGTCCACTGAAGTCAATGAGAGTTTTCCATGAAGATGGGAGATTGGCAGAAGTTTTCCCAGTTTCCCAAATACCCTAACACTTGCTACGTCCCCCATACAGCATGTGATGCCTGTTGAAGTGACCCCACAAAAGGTGTCTGATGATCTTTCTGTCTCTGGCAGGGAATCGTTGCTCTGTACGCTCGTTGGAGAGCGGCGGATTGGAGAGCAAATGGAGTGGAGGTCAGTGAAGGCAAACCGTGTACGAAGGAACCTCTTTGGCCCCGTGGACCATGAACAGCTGCAGCAGGACTTCCAGCACATGCTGCACAGCAGCATGGAGGGAGCCCAGCAGAAGTGGAACTTTGACTTCTTACGGGACATGCCAGCTGAGGGGCTCCTGCAATGGGAAGAATTACAGAGCCATGATGTCCCGGCCTTTTACCACAGTTGTGTAGTGGGTGAGGCTCGCAAGCCTTTGAAGCCCTTGAACCAGGGTATAGTCAAGGAGGTCAAGGCTCACCACTTTGCCACGGTGACACTGACTGAAAACCCCAAAGTTGCCAAGAAAATGTCGGGCAAGAAGAGCCAAGCAGTGAAGAAACGAAGACAGACATCCTTGACAGGTGTGTGAGACTTGTACTTTATGCTGCTCAGTGGGTCAGAACTAGCTCTGAGAGCTTCACAGGAATTTAATCCTGATAGGCCTGTGACTAGCCTGGTCTTAAACAAGCAACACTTCAACTAAATCAGATGACATGCCTGATGCAGACAGGTTAAGGGAGCTTATCATGTGCAGTTTACATAAGAGACAATTAGGCTGATTTTCACAAGGGCTGTGCACCTGCAGCTCCCACGGGTGTCCATGGGATTTGTGAACGGTCAGAATGTCTGAAAAGGAGACCAAAGAAGGGTATGATTGCTCTGTCAAACTTAGGCCTGGCCTACATTAAAAAATTAGATTGACCTAGCTACAGCGTTCAGGGCTGTGAAAATTTTTGCGTCCTGAGCACCATAGTTAGGTAGAGCTAAGCCCCGGTGTAAACATGGTCAGGTCAATCATTCCATCAACCAAGCTACCATCTCTCAGAAAGGTGGATTAACTACAATGATGGAAAACCCCTCTTCTATCTGTGAAGGAAGCATCTACATTACAGTGCTAGAATGGCACAGCAGATGTGGCCTTAGTGTAGGTGGGAGAGACTAGGCAACTAAAGGGAAGGGGGTGATGAAGAATAGTTAAGATGACTTGTCCAAGGGCAGCCTGGATCTCAAGCTGGGTTGTCCAGCAAGACAGTATGACTTTCACCAATTCTTGTCATAGATCTGCATAGTTAGCCATGTGTACTCTTCCCGAAGTGTTGTCGGAGACACAGTGGGCCAAGCAGAGCGAGGGGAGGAAGAACAGGAACCAGAGAAGGTTGCCAATTTTCATGCTAACTTCAGCTTGGATAGAATACTGAGTGAATGCATCCAAGAAGTGTAAGAGCAGACCAGTCTTAAACTTGGCAGGAAGGCAGAAAGGGCCAGCTTTTGAAGTGCTCAGCACCCATAACTAGAGACAGATTTTCAAAGGAGCTCAGATCCCATTTACTCTGGGTTCGAGCTAGACTGCTAAATAGCAATATGGACATTTTTGCATAGGCAGTGGCTTGGGTTACTCACCCAAGTCCAAGACCACCCAACTCTCTATGTCTGAGCTTGGGCAGCTAACCCAAGCCACCAGCCATGCCACAATGTCGACACTACTATTTTCAGCACGTTAGCTTGAGCAGATCTAGCGCAAATCTCTCTGCCTGCGTTGAGAATCACAGTTCCCAGCTGCAGTATAGACATACCCTTTGGCACCGACACCAGGGCAACATTTTCAAAAGTACTCAGCACCCAGCCACAATCCTGATTGTATTTCATTTATCCACACAGGGATTTTGGTTGTCCTGAACTCCTGAACAACAGGATTCTTTCTAGCCTATATTGGGGGGTCTAATGAGAAGTACCAGCCTTAAATTGTCAAAAAGGATAATTAAACTAAGACATTAGGAAACTTCTTTTGAATAGTGATGCAGATCAGACAATAGACTAATTTGCCAGGAGAGGCTATGTCATAAGCTGGGTGCAAGCAAACAATATGTGTTTTAATACAGTCAAATGTAAATGTATATGTCTAGGAACAAAGAATATAGGCCATATTTACAGGGTGGGGAACTGTATCCTGAGAAACAGCGACTCTGAAAAAGATTTAGGGGTCATGGTAGATATTCACCTGACTGTGACACCAGGGCTAATGTGATGCTTGGATCCATAAACAGGGGAATTTCGAGTAGGAATAGAGAGGTTGTTTTACCTCTCTATTTGGCACTGGTGTGACCATTGCTGGAATACTGTGTCCAGTTGTGTCCACAATTCAAAAAGGATGTTGATAAATTGAAGAGGGTTCAGAGAACAGCCATAAGGTTGATTAAAGTATTAGAAAACATGCCTTGTAGTGATAGACTCAAGGAACAAAACCTATTTAGTTTAACAAAGAGAAGGTTAAGGGGTGATTTGATTACAGTCTGTAAGTACCTTCTTGGGGAATAAATTGTGATAATGGGATCTTCAATCTTGCACAGACAGGTCTAACATGATCCAATGGCTGGAAGTTGAAGCTAGACAAATTCGGATTGGAAATAAGGTGTAAATTTTTGACAGTGAGTTTAGTTAACCATTGGAACTACTTACCAAGGGCCGTGGTGGATTCTCCATCATTTGCCATTTTAAAATCAAGATTGGAAGTTTTTTCTAAAAAAAATATGCTCTATGAATTATTTTGGGGGAGTTCCATGGTCAGACTAGGTGATTACAGTGGTCCCTTTTGGCCTTGGAATCTATGAATCGCATCCGATGAAGTGAGCTGTAGCTCACGAAAGCTTATGCTCTAATAAATTTGTTAGTCTCTAAGGTGCCACAAGTCCTCCTTTTCTTTTTACGGATACAGACTAACACGGTTGCTATTCTGAAACCATCGTTAGACAGGTTCAAGAATGAACTAGAGCTTAGTGATGAGAGGACAATCTTACACTAGAGCACAGGGCAGTAATACTTAATGAATGCACTTTTCATCTCCAAAGCACTTTGCAGGCATTAACTAATTAACTCTATAATATAACTGTAGGAGTACAGGAGCTTTATTCAGGCTTCAGTGTTGTGACAGTTGGAGGGTATCACTATTCAGTTGTAAATCTCTGTCTAGCAGTGTAGGAGCAAATTATGCAAATATTTCCAAGGGATATTTTCTTCCATTCTGTTTGCCCTGGTAAACAAATATTTCCACAGGGGATGTGGAAACCAAAACACCAAGTTGCACAGCTTAACACTTTCCCATATTTGTTTTTACAAGTGAAAACTTGTTGGTAGAAATTGGTCCCCCAAGAATTCTGGATGCAATGAAACTGATCTATCAGAGCAATCAAGTATATTCTGCCTATTTTGGTGGGGCTTTGAGCTCATTCCATTTCTCTCTCTCTCTCTCACATGCACCCATTTATCCTCCCTATCACCACCTCAAAAACAGTACATCAAAATCTCCCATCAACTCAGAAGATCTGTACTCTGCTCCCTCTGGAACAAGACGTGACTAATCCATGTGACAGGCGAATTAGTCATCCAGAGTGATGCCTACCCCCAGAGGCCGAACCCACTCTGTGCCACACGTCCAACCTCTGTCATCCCAGAAAGTGTGGAGAGTGTGGACTAAACTTTAGACTGGTTCTGAACACAGGTATCTGCTATCTCATTTAGTCAAGCAGAACTCAGTAATGCTTTGCATTAAGGTCCTGCAATGGTGCATTTAATTTACACTGTAAAAGACAGTAGTGGTCTGGTTAAATAAATATCAATGTCTTAAAAACCAACATGGGTTCTGGGGACACTGGAGCCACCAAAGTGGGAGGAACTGAAGCTTTCTCACTTTATCTGACTCCTTGGGCAGGCGGAGTTAATTAACCAGTAAAAATGCAGGAGTTTTGCCATATTCCCAGCTCATTTGACACATGCATACCATCAGTTCCAGCCTCTGTTCTGATTCCATGAGAGTGCTTCACAGCTGCAGATTTACAGTACAGCTAGGCTTTATTCTGGCCTTTTCCAGGGACTGAAGTGAACTGTCTTTTTTGTAAGCCGGATTTCAAGATGCATCAGTGGCCAGAGCTAGAGAAAGAGCCAAGGGAAGGAAAGACATTTTCCATGAAGCACCAGCCTCTTTCACATGCCAGGTCTCATCCTTTTGTTCTCAGCTCAGAGCACTGTGGACTTGACTTTGGGCATGTCTACACTACAGGTGCTACGGCAGCACAACCACAGCACTACAGCGATGGAAAGGGGTAAGCCACCTCCCTTGAGTGGCAGTAGGTAGGTCGATGGAAAAACTTTTCTGTTGACTCAGCTGTTTCTGCACAGGGAGTGAGGTTAGGTCCATCTTCTGGACTAGTGGTTTCAAGATACTGGGTAAAATTTTCAAAAGTGACTGGTCTACACTACAAAGTTAGGTTGAGCTAGCTACATCACTCAGGGGTGTGAAAATTCACTCCCCTGAAAGATGTAATTAAGCCGACCTAAGCCCCGGTGTCGTCACCATGAGGTTAATGGAAGAATTCTTCCATCGACCTAGTTACCGCCTCCCAAGGAGGTGAATTTATTACAGCAATGGAAGAACCCCTTCACTACAGCAGTGCAGCTGTGCCACTATAGCATTTCTAGTGTAGACGCACCCTGAGGCACTTAGAGCCCAGATCTTCAAAGGCATTAGGTCCCTAACTTCCATTGAAATCATGCGAGTTGGGCACTTAAATTCATTTGAGGATCTGGTCCTGAGAAACCTTAGTCCCACTGACTTCCATCAAGACTTTGGCTCCTACATGCACAAGTCCCTTTTGAAAATGGGACTTGGGCTCCTCAATTACTTAGATGCCTTTGAAAATTTTACCCTTGTTAAAATTCACCATTGATGAAAGTGAGGATAATGCCAATGAAGTCACTTATGACTTTGACCCACCAAGTATAATCCATAATATATCCCTCCTCTCCAGTACAAACTGGAGGACAGAGTATATATAAAGTCTCATGATTAGAAGAATTAACAGTTGTGAGGATTATACTTTGTGAGAGCTCAGACATCCCACTTCTTATTGTTACTCCTCTCCTCTTCCTCCCCACCCAGAAGTTCTTGTGACATTTGCAGGCCTTTTTTCCTGATAAATTAGCTGCTCAGACTCCCAACAATATGTGGTATTAATTTGGGTCACCACTATACATATTATCCTCATCATAAATCAACCAACAGAACTTAATGAAATTGGATGCAGGATTTTCTTTGCAGAACTTGGCTGTGAAAACCTGTAGAATTCCAGGGAGTATCCTCTGCCAGTAGTATTCTCTGTAGAAATGAATACAAGCCGTAAACTGCTAGGACACCATGACTATTTGCTATATACATTGCCATTTTGGTTATGTGGGAAAGTGAAGTTAAAACATCATGAGGACCGAATCCTCAGCTGGTTTAAATTGGAATAGCTCTGTTAAAGCCAATGGAGCCAGTTTACACCAGCTGAGGATGTAGATCTGTGCCTGTAAATGTGGGTATACTGCTGATTTAATTTCAGCTATATTTGTCCTGTTAACTACATGAAAAATGTATTTGTTTCTGTGCTAGAAAAAAAATCACTGCTTAGTGTTTCCACAAATTATGGAAAGCAGGTCATGGTTCTGTTGTTAGATTGATTTTTGCACTTGAAGCAGGAATTAAATCACTTTGCTATGGATGAAGAATACAGAGTATTTTCCCCACAATTACAGCCCTTATTTATTCTGTATTCAGAGAGTAATAATTCAGTGTTATTGCAAGGTTATATCCAGTCTTCCTAGAGTTCTTATTTGATGTAATAAGTAGAACGTTATTAGTAAGGTTCAGCATAATTATAATTCTTCTGATGTTATGCTAAACTGCAGATCTTTTTTAAGGTGGTAAAAGAGCACTGAAAAATAACTATTTCTGACCAGAAAACACTATTGTACTGGATCTAAAAGTCAGAGAGTAAAATGTCACATTGCTCAGCTTATATAAGAGAGTCCAAAGTCCTTTGATCTATGCTGAATAAAAGCTAGCACATTTCCTTTGTTTGTTTGGTATTACACATCTTTATATGGAACATACTAAAGGTATTAGTTTTGTTCCCTCGTGGGCCTTAGAGAAGCCTACCTGACATTTCTTTAAAACATCATTCACCACGTCAGCAGTTTCTAATTCTGTTTGTTTGCTATTCTACAGATTACTACTCAGCTAAGAAGCAAGTCAAAACTAACAGTCAAGCTGCTGCAAAGAATTTGGCTTTCTGAAATGAAACACAGGATTGATCTGCACCAGAGATGTTATAAAGAGCTGCCAGGTTTATCTGACATTCAGAAATTGTGTGTGCAAGCTACAAATGCTTAAGGGCATCACATGGATTGATATATTCATGAAAGGACTGATGGAAGGTCTTATAAACACAACAAAACTCGCATTAGAATGAGATTAAACTGGAAGCCTCTTTGCTAAGGATCACTAGCCTTAAAAGTGTTGGTAAGCAAGTTTGGAAATGTTTCAGGAATTGGCTAATAGCAGCAACTTAACCACGTGCGTTTCAAAGAATACTGCATACGAGAAAGCAGTGAACATAAGGTTAAACAGCTGTACAAATGTACTGCTGCATTTGAACAAGTCAGAATATGATCAGGACCGTATTATGTTTCTGATTTTGTATTTTTTACATCTTTAATGTACAGTTTGTTCCCTATTTCTAAGAGTGATGGCTTATCCAATCAATAAGCTTCACCTGCTAAACTCTACAGATCTGATTTATTTAAAAAGTTCCCAACCCAGACTATGATTTTTCAGGTGCAAAATTGTGACTACCCATAACTATCTGTGGACATAAATAGTGGTATTTATGTGGCAAATTCTCTGCGGCTGTAAATGGACACCGCTGTAGTTACTTCAGGAGAGTTTTGCCTATTTATTTCGGCAGAGCATTTGGCCCTGTGTCTGTCTACTTGACTCTGTTCAAAAATCAGGGTGTTAAACATGTGACTGTTGTAAATGGATGTCTGCAAGTTTGCACCCATGAAATCAGGCACCTTATGTTAAAATCATTCCCGATATCTGCTGGGACAAATATAGCCTTCATTTTCACCTGTGCAGTTCCATTGAGGCCAATGCATGTGTGAAAATGAGAGCAATATTTGCCCTGTTGGGCACAGTGTTTTGTAATGCAGGTTACTATGGAGACATTGGGCTAGATTCACAAAGAAATTTAGGCATGGTGATGCTCAGCATCATCATGCCTAACTTTTAGGTTCCTAGAAACTCCCGAGGATTCAAAAAGTCTTGAGTCCAGTGCCTAGGCTCCCTGTACAGTGAACAGAGGGAGGTAGGTGCCTCAGAATTGGATTCACAAAAGCTGGCAGGCTAGGCAGCTCCTTGCACATGCTAGCCATTGGGAGATGCCAAAATTATAGGGGGGAGGGATGCTAAGCCCCGCCCCTCGCCGTGAAATGGGTGTTGAAGTCTGGGCTGCAGGGAGGTACCTTATTTGGCTTGCGATTCTCAGGTTCAAACCCTCTCTTGGGGTTATCTACACTGCTTTAGCAAGACGTTGCGGGGTCAGGGGGAAGACCACCCACATAATTTTGAGCCCAGTGGTTTGGGCACTCAGAGGTGGTAGGTCCCAGTTCAAAACCCTTCCCAAAGTGGAGGTTGGACTAGAACTGGGGTCTCCCACATCCCAGGTATAAGCACCCTAACCACTGGGCTAAAACATTGGAGGGAGGCCTCCTCTTTGCCCATCTCCAGCCATTTTGTGTATGCTCATGTATAGGGGTCCAGTCCAGTAGGCAAGCTCTGAGGATGCTTACTAGATTGTGCCCTGCAGGAAAGTTAGGCAGAGGAACTCCTGTCTTTCCTCGGTTCATGCAGCACTTTGGGGTTAAGTGTCCAGACACCTGGCATGGGGCTGCAGTGTTCATGCTCAGAGGAAGAGCCAGAGGTGCCTAGGGAATATTTACTGCTAAAATTTAGGTGCTGAGTGAGTTTAGGCACCTACAGGATTTGGTGACACCTGGGGCTGAGGTGGGATTTGTGAATCCTATTGTGGCCTGATTCTGGGATTTAGGCACCTAAAGTGGCAGTTAGGGACCTAAATCCTTTTGTGAATCTAGCCAATTTTTTTAAAAAAAATTATTTTTATTATTTGTTAAGCCCACATACGGTGTTTCCGTCACTATTTAGGAATTTCCTACAAGAAGAGAAAAGGTTTAATAACACTAGCTCATCCATCCCTCTTGGCATTGCATGGATTATTATTTCTAGGTATTTTTATACCATACACACTTCCTTTCTATTTCCCTTCTCCACTCCACCCACCAATTTGGATAATTGGGTTTTATGGCTCTTGGCACCCAGTTTGTAAAATGTAAAGAGAAACCTACAAAATATACATGCTAAATTATTCTTGTGCATATGGACTTGAGTAAGGTGCTGTGTTTCACAAACAAGTTTGGAAAGACCACTGTGATTTGGGCAGTTTAGAAATTACACAATGATTGAGAACTGCTTTTTGCCTAAAATCTACATCTACAAAGTCTTGTACAGTAGATTTTCTCTGGGTATATACATATTTGTGTATGCTGTACACATGGGATGCAGCTTATACATGTTTCAGAGTAGCAGCCCTGTTAGTCTGTATCCGCAAAAAGAAAAAGAGTACTTGTGGCACCTTAGAGACTAACAAATTTATTTGAGCATAAGCTTTCGTGAGCATCCGATGAAGTGAGCTGTAGCTCACGAAAGCTTCTGCTCAAATAAATTTGTTAGTCTCTAAGGTGCTACAAGTACTCCTTTTCTTTTAGCTTATACATGTTCACACAGATATTACATGCAACACCAAGACATAATAATTATTTTTCCAAAGGAGCAGTGATGTTTAGATGTAAACAGTTCATTAAGGCTATCAAAATATATCCATTTTTAATGAGAAAAGGCAGTGAATCAAGCCTGTTCCTTTATGTGCTGAGCTACGGGAGCTCAGCATGTTGCAGGCATAGGAGCTGGAACTAGAAGTACAGGGGGTGTTGCTGCACCCTGGCTTGAAGTGGTTTCCATCAGATAAGGGTTTACAGTTTGGTTCAATGGCTCTCAGCACCCCTATTATACAAATTGTTCCAGCTCCCCTGGTTGCAGGGTCTATATTTTCAACTCCAGGCAAGTGAGAGAGTCAGGAGAAATTTTTTTCTCTTTTTAATCTTTGATTTGGAAACAAAGGGCCCAATCCTGCTCCTAAAATCCTGAAATCAATGGGAGTTTTGCACAATGGAACCAGAATGAGACTCCAAATGGAGAATATTGTGAGTGAACTCAGTATGTGTGTTTGTGTGCTCCTGTTACAATAGCAATGGCATGCTGGGAAATAGTATGTTTTCTTACTTTTGGTGATGACTAAGACAAATCTATTTTTTTAAGTGTGTGATTTTCTCTGATTTGAAAAAAATTACACAACCGTATGTTTCTGTGTGTTTGTGTGTTTTTAAAATCAGACCGACGACACTGTGTACCTTCTTGTTTTGTAGTGGTGTGCTAAGCAGCCTTATTTTCTGGTCAGTATGACAGGAGCTGCACACAAAAAAAGCCTATCCATCTGTCATGCACAAGGTTACCATGATGTTGCCTTGTTTTCTTATAGGGGAAAAGGGACACCTCTTTTTACAGAGGAAAATGATGATAGCTTGTCAGGGACTGAGCTTGTCAAGGTGTGAGACTGCAGGTTAGAATTTAGCCCATCCAAATTTCTAACATCTCTGCCAGTTATAATTGTGAATATTAGCTCAGAATGCTATAGTTAATTAAAAAAAAAATTTGCTGGCAAGATGCAGTGATATTTTGTGGCTTGATATCTATATATTTTTTAAAGTTTCTTAAATACAAAATATTGTAAATGAGGGTACAGTGTACAGAAAGAAAAACTTTTCTTTTCTTACTGCTCCACTCCATGGTGTGTGCAGTTAGGATGTCCTGATACTAAGTAATATAGGACCAGATGCTCAGCTAGTGTGAATTTTGTAGGTCACTGAACTGCGATGGAGCTGTCCCAATTTACTCCAGCTGAGGATCTGGCCAGAGGTATTTTGCACTAGTGCTTTGTGTTACTACAGACCAAACGTTGATGACAAGCAGCTAACCAACTGCATACATAAACTGCCTCCTCTCTCCATACACAAATTTTACAGTATGGGTACTGCAATAGCAGCCCTACAACTATTAGCCCTACTGCTGAGAATGACAACAGGCCTCTGATTGGTTGCTGAGGTTTGTCATGTATGGGATAGAGAACAGACCATTAGAAATCTTCTTTTATTCAGTAGTTAACATTCTGATGGAGAAGTATTTTAACAAGAAAACATGGAGTAAACATCTTTTTTTTTCTTTTATCCTGTAAATTGCACTTTTCGGTCAAACACAATCTAGAATTTTCTTTATCGAGACATTTCAGTAGTAACACCTAATACGTGGCAAAGAATAAAATTAAATGGGCCCAAAATATTCCCGGTCTTTAAATGTATGGAAAAGGAGGCAGACCCACTTGAAGTTAATCAGTGTACTGTAGCTTTAGTATATGTTTAGTTCCATTTAAGTATACAGTGCTCTGAGTGAACTAAATATAATACAGTAATGAAGCTGTTCGAGGCATATTTGCTGATCATTGACTTTGATTGGCTGCCTGGGTGTATGACACAGGCCAACCATCAAATCCCCAAGTAGCACTTTTTCCTAAGGAGAAGCAAGGTGCTGTGTTCTGGAACTGACATAAATTGGGCATTAAAGAAGTGGTAGCAGCACTGTTTCGAGCTATCTTAAATGTACTTCTGATTACACAGCAGAGGGGGACCTGCATCAGGAATCCATAATATTTAACTGGTTTAACCTCCACCTGTTAATAAATAGACAGCTAATCCCTCTGAGCTCCCTCTCTCAGGTATAGATCATTTCATTCAAGTCCTTTGGCAGCGATTGAGGAAATGGGGCCTCTTCAGCAAGATAGCCAGGAAAAGAGACACTAGATGCTTTCCGTTATTTTCAGGATAGTACAAATAGAGCTTTTTACTACAACTTCTCTGCAAACTAATCATATGGACCCTTCTGGAGGTCAGTATTGTTTTTCTGGAGAACCTATGGATGAGTTACAGTAGACACCTACACTCTACCATTAGCTTTTGGATCTTTATAAATGGGTGGGTGGAGGGACTTATTTATTCCAAAGCTTGTGAACTGCTGTGAGAAAAGTGGATTTTCTCCATTCAAATAACAAATCTAATGGGTCAACAAAGTTCATTCTGAAATTCAGAGGGTTTATGTTATACAAGGTACTTTCTTTCAGGTATTAATTTTGCTTTGCTTGGAATGTTGTAATACTGTAGGTTCAGTGAATTTCAGTGTAAGTGTTGATGTGTGAAGTTTTTGGTTGTTGACTGTGGATATTTGCAATATCATAAATAAAAACTGGTTCATTACTTGTGTTTTTTTACAGCAAACAAGACTGAGTTGTCCTTTTTTCACACACTATTTTTGTATCTTCACGACTCTGATTTGGATTCCATCCACTCCCCCCTCCCCCCATACCATTCTGCTTTCACAATGCATTGACTGACACAAACAAAATATCGGCATGGCATTTGGGTTAATTTAAACTCGGCTAATCTAGAATCCAGGAAAATGGACTTTGTTTCTCTAGCGGGTCTTTCCATATTTTCCCACTGAAGAGGGAAAATATGGAAAGACCCCTGGTCCTGCACATATTCCAACACTGGTACTTATATCTCACCTGACTAAATCCTCTCTGCGGTTTCATTTGGCTATGACATTTTTCACTTCCTGCCATAAACTGCTGCGGAGAGCTGTCGTGACTTATTAAGCATCTGCCATGTTTCACCCCAGAAGTGGCTGCACTTCAATAACAAATGAAGTGGTTCACATGTTATATGACATGCACACACATGCTTATTAATTATTATTATATCACCTATAGGTCAGTGGGAGCTACTGGGCAGGCAGCACTTTTGAAAATCAGGCAGGTACCTAAATATGGTTTAGGAGCCTAACTTTAGGCCTCTGCTTTTGAAAATCGTGGCCTAAACCATTCTTCCTCTCACAAAGTAGTGTGGGTAAATAGCAGAGCCAAGTATATTACCTTTGATGGCAGTCACCTGCACTCTGCCCATTAAAACATCTCCTCCGAGCAGTTTCAAACAGCTGCCAATGTGAAAAAAAGAAGACACGCACACATGTACACCTGCTAGGTAAATATATCTTTCTTCATCTCCCCACCCTGCACAAACCTGACAGTTCTCCCCCAAAATAACGTTGGCCTGAAGCCGAAGATAGTATGTAGTCCTGGATCAATGGTAGATTGAGGTAACTTCAGGGTTAGAAAGGAGTGACCTATATCACTGGAAAAAGAAAACTTCCAAGTTCCTGCTGGGATACATAGTACTTGCTTCTAGTCCTGGAAAATCCAGAAATACTAGACCCTCAAATCACTACATTATTTTATACAGAATAACTTTTTGGTAATTTTTAGAGGTTTAAAAGTGTTGTTATTAAATTGAGTCATGTTTCTAAGGAGACGTCATCACTGCAAAAAAAGACCTGCAGCAGTGAGTCTCACAGCCCAGGTCAACTGACTCTGAAAATGTGGGTTTCAGGCCCCAGGATCCACCCAGAGCCCCGGTGTCTATACTGCTAGTTTTTGTCCCATAGCTCATTGTCCCTGTTGGACCTGGTCTCCGAGACTCACTACCACTGGTCTTTTTTTGCAGTGTAGACACAATTCATCTGGATGAGAGGCTCCATCTAAATCCCAAATGGTCAAATTAGTATACATGAACTTTATCCAACTTGTTGAAAAGTGGCCATTTTTGACACTGGCACTACTGGAACCCAGCATAATAGACAATCTTTCGGCAGGGGGCTAGGAGAGATGGAAGGGTCTTGTTGTTTTTGAGGAAGGGGGAAAGAAGGGCTAGAAGTGGGTAAGGGAGTGAAAAATTATTTTCCTTGGCTCTGGTGCCCTACTAAGGAGGAATAGGCCCAGATCCTCAAAGGTATTCTGCTACCTAACTCCTATTGAAATCACTGGAAGTTAGGCACCTAAATACCTTTGAGGATCTAGGCCATGTTTGTAGTACTTTGAGGATTAAAGAATGCAGGAAAATGGTTTCCCTTATGTGAGCTACAGTGTCCCAACTAAGGGCACTATTCAGGAAAATGGGTACCTGCCATTTTAATGTTCATAACATGTACATCTGTATCTATGATCTGCAAAAACCCAGTTCTGCGTGCTTCCCCTGCCCTCTCAAAATAATCACAATGGCCTTTTAAATATATATATGAAAATCATTTTAAAATGTGTGCCAAATACCATGACAGTCACTACGTAAAGATTTCACAAACAAATGAACGATAACATATACTTTGGGATTCTCTTGCGCCTGAGCAGATGTTTCTATAAACCAATTGCAGTGGATATTAATAAACACTACAACACAGCTACATTAAGCCTAGATGTCTGGTTTTCGACCGGAACATCTGGTGGCTCCAGTCAGCAGCGCTGACCAGGCAGTTAAAAATCTGGTTGGCAGCGCAGGCAGGCTCCCTACCTGGCTCTGCGTGGCTCCCAGGAAGCTACTGGCATGTTTGGCTCCTAGGCACAGGGGCGGCCACGGGGGCTCTGTGCGCTGCCCCCGCCCCGAGCACTGGCTCCACAGCTCCCATTGGCCAGGAACTGCGGCCAATGGGAGCTGCGGGGGCAGCACCTGCGGGTGGGGGGCAGCGCACAGAGGCGCCTCGATGTGCCTCTGCCTAGGAGTTAGAGGGACATGTCACTGCTTCTGGAGAGCCACCCAAGGTAAGCGTCACCTGGAAACTGCACCCCAACCCCCTGCCCCAGCCCTGAGCCCCCTCCTGCACCCAAACTCCCTCCCGGAGCCCACACACTGCACCCCAACCCCCTGTCCCAGCCTGGAGTCCCCTCCCACACCCAAACTCCCTCGCAGAGCCCACACCCCCACACACACACCAACCCCCTGCCTCAGCCCTGAGCCCCCTCCCACACTCCAAACCCCTTGGCCCCAGCCTGGAGCCTCCTCCTGCGCCTCATCCTTGGCCCCACCCCAGAGCTGTCAGTGCCAGCTGGAGCCCTCACCCCTCCTGCACCCCAACACCCTGTCCCAACCTGGTGAAAATGAGCTAGTGAGCGAGGGTGGGGGAGCGGGAGGGGGGCGGGGGGATGGAGTGAGCAAGGGTGGAGCCTTGGAGAATGGGCAGAGCAGGGGCAGGGCAACAGTATTTGCGTTTCTGCTATTAGAAAGTTGGCAACCCTAATTAAGCCACATGCTAGTTGTGTCCAGCTCTTTCCTCCACGAGCACATCTTTTGCTGGGATATGGCAATGTTATACTTTAAAGGGCTATAAATCTTTTACCAAGCCAACAGAGCACATTTCTTCACTTAGATTAAGAGCATTGTTTGAATACTTGTGGTTGTACAATTTGTCCTGTCTCTTTCTCTTTTCTTTCAGCCATGCTAAACAATGAAGAGGCAAAATTGTGCTGTTATACAGGAGGGCTAACGTGATAGACTGCAGGAGATTTTTAACTCATCTGCCGCAAATCAGGATTATCCCTTTTACCTTGCCACAAATCTTTCCAGTGCGATTGCTTTTATTACAGATAATTTTCCTCTAGTCTTTTCAGGACACTTCACACAACAGTGCAAAAAATGTATTAATCACAAAATGTTGGACTCAGGGTCAAATAGCCAGGGAAGGCTGCTACCAGGTTGGCTTCCCCTACCACCAGGCAGCCACCAACAGCACAGCTTCCACTCTTGCTGCTCCAGACTGCGGCTGCAAAGTTTGCTAGAGTAGACGAGCTTCTGAATACTACTGGAGGGGGCCCGTGTCTACAGCTACGGTGGGGGAACTAGTGGCAACCTGACACATGACTAGCCATGCTGCTAATGCAGGGGAGATCGTCCCATAGATCCTTGGGCTCCACATGTTCAGCAGGCCACGCTCCTTGACACTTCTTTACCGCCACTGTAAGAAAAGAATGCAGTGGATTTCCTGCAATACCAAATTATTAGATATCTCCATATAATTTGATGAAACATTTTTACATGGGAGAGGAGGGGGCTATGGCCTAGACTGCTCAGAAAATAAACTGATTATATATAAAATACATTTTATTGGGTGTTTTTAAAATTATTGAATCCGTAATATTAACCTGGGCTTTTAGATGTCTAAAAATGTGACTAAATCTATCCTGTGTTATCCTGCCCATTCAATAACATTACAATCCCCAAATGAAATATTTTTAAAAAGATATAGTGGCATTGGGTAGCTTCTGAATCTTAGCCACCCAGTCCTGTAACCTTTACTCGAGTCATGCAACCACTCATTACTCATATGAACAGTCCCACTGATTCCATCACCTTTACTCATATGAGTAAGGACTACCTGCGTGTAAAAGTCATAGGATCCAGCTATAAGTTTGTTGTTCCAGATGGAATTCTTCAGTGGTTCTATTTACTTCAGTTCACTTTCATATTTTTTAACTCCTCCCCTAAGGGAACAATAATGAAATCTATTGGTAGTTTCATGCAGGTGAATACTTGATCAGTACCTAAAAGAAAATAAACTACCAAGAACCAAATTCTTGTTCTCAGAAATCAAACCTTTGCAATGAGGACTTTACTTTTGTTTCTTCAACACAATTGACTTAAGAGTTTCATGCTAGGTGCAAATGAGTGGAGTGATTTGTTTTGCATATATATATATATATATATATATATACACATATATACAGCATCAGCCCACTGAAAAAAACATGCCTATTAAATGCATTGAAAAAAAATCCATGCACGGAAAGGGGCTTAGTATATTCATGACATTATTTGTCTCTAACAAATAGCAGTAACCCCAGATGACCTTCTGGCTCCTGGCTCCACCCAAGTTCTTGGCCTCTTTTCAGCATCTTGGCAAAAGTTGCAGACATCCGCCACACAATGCCAAGTAGCTGTTTTGTCTGTAGATATGTAATAGAGATTAGAATAGTGGTGGTGAGGAGCCATAAAACATCCCCTTCAAACATGAAACTGGCATAGAATTCCTCCGTGCCTTTCCCAATGACCCCAAGTATCACATCAGGAATGAGTAGCTATACAACACAAAGAAAAAGTTTCCACCACTTCAGGTTATTGGATATAAGTTTCTCTTCTCCCCACCCCCTCCCAGTGTCGATGCTGAAACCAACTCTTTCATGTCAATGATTAACTTGATGCTATTGGGCTTTGCAGCCATGTGAAGGGTGGATTTAGTGCAGGGGACATTACATCATACCTTTCTGATGTGCTCAGTCATGGATCACTGATTTGCCTCCGATTGCAAGCTAACAAAACTGACACTTGAATGGAAAAGAGAATGTAACCCCTGCACATGGCTCGTTAGCACTTCC